AGAAGAACCCGTCCAGAAGACCTATACAATTTTTTTTCTTTTTGATTTTTTACCTGGATTACTGAGATGCATCAGGACATTTATTAAAAATAAACAGCTGATGTGGCAGCTCAAAAACCTCAAACACTAGGAAGCACCTGAAGGACAAACCACAGCGGACACATGGGAGGCTTYATGACTGAAATTACACAGAGGGGCTCAGAATATAAAGGAACCTTAACCAACATAAACCATCAACACCTGGGAGGAAATCAAACTGGAACAGGTGGGAGGGACCAGAGCGGGTAGGCACACACACTCATCTGGGAATACAAAATAAAAAATAAATAAATAAAACTAGAAAGACATTTGCTAAGGATTTTATAAAATACTGACTGCTGGCCATTACTAGAAAAATGTAAAAGAAGCCAAAAATGAACATTAATCATCATTTGTGTCTTATTATGCTGTATTAACCCATTTGTTCCTAAAACAGCATCCACTCTGTTCTGCCTGGAAACATCTTGTGAAATATTTAATAAAATATTTTTTATTGATAAACTCCTGCTTCTGATCTGTGCAGACTGTCTTCAAATATTTTTCCGTCAGCTGCTGTGGTCCTCTGACACTCTTATTTTGAAAAGGACGCAGTTCGTTTCCGGTCGGTGACGTCACGTACGGCTTGTGTAGCTGAGCTGGCTGATGGTTGTTTTGAGTTGCGGCAGGCAGTTCTCGTCGACGACTTTTTTTTTTTTGCGTGGAAACCGGGTTTCTGTTTTTCTCGTGAGTGTGTTTCTTCACACCGAACCGAACAGAGTGTTCCGGGTCCACAGAAGTCCAACTGAAGCCCATAAACAGGACGTGTCTCTCTGTTTGTCCAACTGACGCCATCATGGACCCCGCCAGTCAAGGTAAAACACTCCGCTCCTCCCGTGTCAGCTTCACTGTGTTCATTTTACCCACCGAACCAGTTGAGACGAGTCTGAGGCCACGATTCGAGCAACATATAACCTAAATGTTAAAGAATGAGCTGAGTTGTTCGTTTGAATGCTGAGATAGTTGGTGTCAGAGGACAGGCCCGCTCCGCCGGGATAGGGACAAGGACGAGTCTGTTTACCTCAGATTTCTTCAGGAAATGAGTTTGTGTTTGTTGGAGCTGGATGTCAGGACACAGCAGCCTGTAGATGGAGGGTCTGTGGTGTTTTCTAATGATCCTCTGCTGCTTTTCTCCTCTTTATCAAGACCAGGCAGGTTTACAGACCAAACAACACAGGTGTGCTTATAAATAAATATCGTGCATCTGAAGACACTGCTCTTTCTGTTTCATGTTGGTGTGAAACCAGACACAGGCCTGAGGTCAAACTTTCTGCTGCTTCATTTGTTTCTTCTGACAGATCCTCTCACACTGAAGATTACTCAGTGTTGTTCTAGTCTTTAGTGATTGTACTGCAGAGGAAATACAATCATACATTATTATTATTATTATTATTATTATTATTATTATTATTTTATTATATATTGGTCTGTTGTGAGGTTATATTTTAATGCACAATTTTAAAGATTCCTCTCTAAAATTAACATCTAGGCTTACGTTTCCACCCAGTTTATTATTGATGAAGTCACACACAAGGATTTGATRCGTGCTTCAGGTTATAAACAAGATGACATCATATTGTTGAACACAGGTAGATCAGTGCAGTAATATTGATCACGAAGTCTCCAGCTCATAAACAGGTCTCTGCAGACTACATATCTAGCCTCCCTGTGGATACTTTGGAAAGATACAAATGAAAATGATCGATTTGTTGCCTTAAAGATTGCCTCTATCTGTGAGATTGCTCAAGATGTTTAGAGAAACTGGACTTTTCGACCTGACAACACTGCTGGTGCACCCTGATAGCACGGGGTGGGCGGTAACCAGCTTTACTTTGTCAACGTCATTCACTTTGAAATTGCACCACATGGCTTTTTCATTTTCTTATAGCCTTGGGTACAAAAACGATGTAGAACGCCACCATCTTTGGAGAAGATACAAATATCTTCTGCAATTTTTTGATCCTCCTACTACCAGCACGATTAAAATTACAGTGGGGAGGACACGTATTTGATAAACTGTTGATTTTTCAGGTTTTCCCACTTGCAAAGTTTGTAGATGACTGTAATTTTTATCATAGGTACCTGTGAGTGATGGAATCTAAAACAAAAATCCAGAAAAATACAATGTATGATTTTTAAATAATTAATTTCTATTT